CCCCCCCCCCCCCCCCCCCCCTCCCCCCGGAGGCTCGGGCGAATAATAATTCCACAAGGCTATAAAAGGAAGGCTAGAAGGAAGGAAAAAAGAAAGGAAGAAAATTGCTCCGTGACCGTCCCCCTACCCCCCTTTCTGGAACCAAAGCAAAAAATAAAAAGAGAGAGAGAGAGAGAGAGAGAGAGAGAGACAGAGAGAGACAGAGAGAGACAGAAGAAACGGCAGAAGCCTTGTAGTGACCATTGCCCCCCCTTCCTCCATCTCCCATCTCCCATCTGCCACGTGAGGAATCGAAAGGCCCCCACCCACCTCCCCCTCCCCCGGTCTCCGGTTCCATCGCTATAGCGAGAGAGAGTCTGTGTGAAGGGATCAGACGCTCACCTACCTACCTAGGAAGGGTGTTGGTCGGTCTACAGAGTGATCCCAACCAACCACTGCAGGGTACCCGCCCTGCGTAGACATCTCCGAAGGACCGACCGGCCGGCCGGCTGGCTGGCCGGCCCCTCCCGCTGCAAATGAACAGTGACAAACAGTCTTACACACACACTCTCTCTGTTGTAGCAGTTAAATAAAATTCACACAACAGATGATGACGATGAAGAGATTGCATTTCAATGCACCACGTTTGTTTTTTTTTTCTTTCTCAAATTCCGACCGAGAGCTATCTACGTTCCGGGATATCGCCGTGCGAAGCAGCAAAAGTCGGTGCCAGTGTTGTCGAAATGAGAGAGAAGTCTCGCTGGCTTGACCTTGGAGAAAGGGGGGGGGGGGATGGATGGAAGAGGGACAACGCACAGATGACCCCTGCATCGCCTAACTGAAGCTGCTGCCCCCCTGCCACCACTGGTGGTAGCGCACGGAGCTTTGGGCAACAGGAAAAAACGTTGGGGCTGAAGATGAATGGCATATTAAGAGAGAGAGAGATGTGGGAGTGGGAAGTGGGTGTTGCGCTCAGTTATGCAAGACGCCGCAGCAAAGAAGCCAGACTGAGGATGCCCCGAGACTATGATTGTTCGTCCATGTCGTAAAGCTGGTTTAGAACTGAAAGTGACAACAAGACCCCTACTGCTGGTCGTCGTCCTCCGGCTGGTCGAACAGGAAATTTGCCGCCAGCTCCTCGTTCTTGTCGCACGCGAAGTAGGCCTGCACCACAAGATCCCTCTCGAACCCAAGGCGGCACAACTGCGTTGCTGTCAGCTTTCGCGAACCCGTCAAAGGGGCAGGTCCAATACATACCCTGTCGATCGCCTCGCTCTCCTCCTCCGTGATGCTGACAACCTGCGCACCCGGCGGGAGAGGGGTGTCGTCGTCGTGATCCTCGCTCAGGAGGCTGAGGAACTGCTCAGGGTGGTCCGCGATCAGCTGGGCCAGACCAGGGTTACCCTGGCCAACCTGCTGCAGGATGGGCTCGAGCATGTGAGGTTGTTGTTGCACAAGCTGGCGGAGCTGCTGGAACTGAGGGTTGTTGCGAAGGAAGTCGAGGTCACCAGCACCAGCACCCGCGGCGGCGGCGGCGGCAGCAGCAGCAGCTCCTGCACCGGCACCGGCACCGGCACCAGCGCCAGCGCCTGCAGCTCCCCGCGCGCCAGCCCCTCCGCGACCACCTGCGCCCGCGGCGGCCTCAAAAAGGTTGACGGGCTCTTCTCCGCTGGAGGCGGCTTGGGGAGCGGCGGCCTGTGCACCTGCGCCCGCGCCCGCAGCGGGTGCGGGAGCGCCACCCTGCTGGGCCGGAGCATCACGCAGGGCGCTCTCGGGGATTCCGGTCAACAAGTACTCGACAGCACGGTCAGGGTTGAAGTACGCCGCCCTCATGGCGCGATCGATGTCTGCGCGCGGGAAACCCATGCTCTCCATGTTCGCAATTGCCGCCTCTCTCTCGGGACCCATGGTCAAGGATGAAGGGTTATTGAACTGCGGCTCACCAGCAGCCTGGGGCGCAGCGGGCGCGGGGGAGGGGGTAGCGGGGACATTAGATGCGGGAGCCGAGGACTGCGCAGGAGCAGCGGGCGGAGTCGAGGCCTGAGCGGGCTCGCGAGTCGGGGTAGATGGAGCGGCCTTGCTGGCGGATGCGGTGGGCTGGGGCTTCGGCTACGCTACATGTGAGCATGTGGGTTCGTGAGTGCAGGGCTCTCGTTTGGCAAACGAACCTTCTGGATCATGCAAACAATGAACCCCTTCTCCTCAATGTTGTACGATTCCACCGACTTGTCATCCTGGAGGATCTTGCCTGTGCCCAACGTCAGTCACCGGTCGTACACGTCGCGTTGCGCTTTGCAAGCTTACCCGAGTAGATCAGCTTCTGCTTGTCTGCTTCCCAGCCCTTCTCGGCGGAGATCTTGGCCTTGACGTCGGCGATCTGACAGCAGCGGGAATTAGCATGTGGTTGAGCGTTTGGGTGGGCAGCGCGGCGGGGCGCGCGGGGTGGCGCACCGTCTCAGAGGGCTCTGCCTCGATGACAAACTTTTGCTGCTTGAGGTCCTGCGCGGAGGGATTAGCATGGAGCTGGGCGAGGCCGATGGGCCAAGCATACCTTGAAGGTGAGCTTCATGGTGACGATAGCGGCGGGGTTGGCAACTGCTAGTGTGGGGTGGCGGCGAGGAAGAGGCAGATGCCGGGCGTTTGATCGCGTCGGACAATGAGGGGTCCTGCAGGTGCGCAGACGCGATGCAGATTTTTAAACGGGGCCTGCAAACGTTGATGGAGTTTGGTGAGGTGAGGCAATGAGGTAGGCACGATTACAGTACGAGCCACCGCGAGAGGCGGCGGCCAGGCGCCACCACGGAAGGTCTTGGCGAATTTGTTGGGGGTGCAAACTAACCACTAGGCTGCCATCACACGCCTCTTCCATCACGCTTGCTAGGTGCTGTGCTACGCACGCGCGAGCTCCACGATCCGCACCAACACCCGGGTGAGCCATCGGATCGATCTCTCCTCCATGGTTCACCGCCCCCCGTAATGCGCTGCTTTCGCTTCACCTCCTATCTGGACCGTCGCCGCAGCAAGAGGGGAAAAGAAACAGCAAACGAGAGGTCAAGGGCTCAGGCACGATGCGGAGGCAGCAGAATGCTCGCGATTGGTGTCGTGAGGAGGCTTGAGGCCCTTGAGGCGCAGGTGCGGCAAGGAGGATGCAAGACAACTGCACGAATGCTTCACGGCTAGCAGAGGGCGCAGGCGTGCGGCCAGGCTCATCAGGCTGCTGGAGTGAGGCCGCGGCTACGGAGAACGGCCGATTAAGCGAGAGCCGACGGCAGGCTGTCGGCGCGCCGGGTGCGCAGGCTGGACCCACGGTGCGCTCCCGAAGCCGCACGTCTCCGCGCGCTGGTGACAAGCCTCCTTCATCACCACGGAGGCACCACGCGGTAGGGCAGATGCGCACAGGGCACGGCGGTCCTTGAGTGGCCCTTGCCCGGGGCACTCAGCGCTCGGCGGGCTCTTGGCCATGGCACGCTGCTCACCTCACCCACGAGCGCGCGGGTGCGAGGGCGTCGCGCGACGCTGGGGCAGGCCAGGCAGGGCAGGCTGCCATTGGCGGGCACGCACATGTATTCGTGCCACAGGTGCCACAGGGCGCTGTCGAGTGCGGCTTGTCCGACGCGGCGACTGGGGGCAACCCGACTCTGTGCGGCGCGGCGCAGGCTCAGCTCGCACCCGGGGGCGGCGAGCGCAGCGTGTTTGTTGACCCAGCGCTGTCTCGTGCTCGGCAGTAAACAGCGCGGGCTGTTTGACGTCTGGTTTGGCGCACGGAGATGACGAGGGATCCGCTGCGCAGGCTGCTAACGGGCCCGCTGCGGGGGCCCCCCGTTCTGGCCGCGTCCACGCCCCGTCGGCCATCGTTTCGAGCGCGCGGTGAGCTTGTACGCCATTGGATGCACGCAACTAACGGCCACAGAAAATCGGGCCTCCCGAACCGTACCTGCGTAGGGTCGCAGCGGCCGGTGGCCCAGGAGCACGCGGGTGCTCGCCGCTGCCACCGTGCTGCCCGCTGTCTCGCGCCAGCGCTCCGTGGCTCGCATTGCCGTCAGGTCGAGGCAGCAATTTCCCACGGGTGCTGCCCAGCTTCTCCGCGCCAGCCCGGATGCATGTCGCGCATCAAGGATTGGCAAGATCAAGGATTGGCAAGATGCTCGGACCCGGCGTGCAGGCCTGTCCCTACCAGATCCCACCACTCGAGCCCTACCGCGCCAGGTTCTATTTATTCCCTGAGGTCCCCACACGCCGTTGCCCGCCGTTGCCAATGCCCCCCCC